ATTATGTCCCTAATAGAAGCGTGTACCCATAAAGATTGGTTAATTGGGATAAAACATGTTTACCAAAAACTATAGAAATTAGTGATAGAGATTGATTATAATCCAAGAAGTGAGTAATATTAGTCCTCAATTATGGGATATAGTTCATAACCATATCACAATGATATTTATTTCCCCAATAAACTAATAGTTTCCTTATTAAAACTCCAAAGTTTTATGAACAACTCAATAAGGTAATAGCCATGTAATCTGCAATTACCATCTCCCGCCCAAAATATAAAGGCATAGTAATGGCTGATAGATGATTCATGATAGCAAGGGTGATATCACCTGTATATGAATATAATCTCCATGAAAAGGCATTACCATTTTATCATAAGTGAGTATAAATTCACTTATGAAGGTATAGTTAGGGCATGTCCTTTCACGAGAGGGAGAGATTGAGTTATCAAACTATCCGAGCCACTATGGTGAATGTCTTTCAATATGAGGGAGGAAATAATCGTAATCATCACAGTCCCCTTTATATAACTAGTGTACTCATCCATGTAGGAGTATGTCTGTCGAGAAAGGTATAATATGATTTGCACCCATATATATTAGTTTTTCCTACCATTTTATTGGCCTATGGTTAGAAAGATTTGGTTAATATATTCTCCGATACCTTTGTCCCTCTATCTCTCCCTCCCCTTTCTTGTCCCAAATATACAATTAAACTTTTCCAAGTGCTTAAAGAGAGTGTTCCAAAAATAGCTCCTTAACGAGAGGCCCCTTTAATACCCTACCAACTAAACTATGGAGGTAATCCTGTCCATCACTTAAGGAAATATTGGGACCTAGGATAAGTAGATTGGGGATAGAACAAAGGGTGAAGTAACCCTTACAAAATCATTTGACAATCACATAGAGGGAGAATGAATACTAAGTTTCATTAGTCCGCATCACCTAAATGTGGACACAATCATTGCCAAAATTTATATTGTGTTTGTCCACTATTTATAACGTTTTAAAGGGGCCTCTCATCAAGGGGCTATTTTTGGAACACTCTCTTTAACTTTTCCAGTATAAGATGGTACTAATCTAAGTATCATAGTCCCTTTTTTGCTTCCTATTTCCTCTATTAATTTCCTTACTTTTAAGTTTATAACTATAGAGTAGTACGAATATAAATAAACAATAGGGATTTAAAATGGCTAATATCCTTAAACTGATTTAGAATATACTCCATAAATATGATAATTTAATAATATCACTATTGTATTTTAGAAAGAGGAACTAATTAACAATAGGTATCCTATAAACTAAGAGATGGTTACCAAGGAGATAGTTCAAATGATGGATAATCACATTGATCATTCTTGCTTAATAATATATTTTCTCTTTATTAGGTTCCCCATCGAGTCTTCAGATTATTTTAATAATTAATGATGAATACTTATTCATGTATGTTGGTTAAGTATGCAATATAAGATTAATGGTGAGCTACCCTATCAATTATAATCTACCAAATAGTTCAAAAGAGAGATACCTATTGTTAATTGTCTAGGTTAACAATTAGAGTTCTAGTTCCCTTTATTTGAGGTTTGATAGTAAGGTGATGATTAGATCGCTTATTGGCTCATAAAGGTTATATATATGAAAAACGTTAACTTAATTAAGGGGTTTTATAGGGGTTGAAGGGCTATATCCGTGTATAAATATATTCCTCTCCCTATTCAGCTTGGAAAGGTAATTTCACTCTATAAATATATGGTAAATATACCATGCCACACACATGAAGAGAGCCTATCGATGATTCTTGTCATTGGAATATATGTGATATTAGCACAAAAATGCTAAATTATATATTTATTTATTTTGTTACCCTCAATAGGCTCTACAAAATTTTCGTACCAACTCTATAATTACTATGGTCAATTCTTGAGCCTATTGAGGATTAGCAATTGACCTTAATAATTATGGTAAAGGCTAGTGTTGTCCCATAAATAGTTATGATAACCCAATAAGAATATCGATTATGGTTGATTTCCCTAGACATATCCTAAAGAGGATAGAGGAAATTTATATAATACGAAAATTAAGTTAGTTAAGGGAATCACTCAATCTAAAACGAGATATTCTAATTCCTATTTAGATAAGGTATAGATCCTAGCATATTAAGAACCAATCACCCTATAGCTAGGTGATTAAACTAGCTATAGGGTTATAACTATAGCTAGCTTAATCACCTTTTAAATTCTCCCTTTTGATTATTTCTCTCACCTTGGAAATCGTCGATTCACCTACTTGGATAATATTTATCATGATTTGGTGTATAAGTCTATTAATACAAACTTAAATGTACTCGATATAATTTAGGGGGACTTAATATTTACAAAGTGGTATGATTAATCCGCTAAATCATTGTATCATACTATGATTTGGCTTTATGGATTGGTTATATTATCATAACTGATCACTCCCCTTTTGCCTCCTACTTAAAAATGGCATAAGAATGCTATGATTGTGTTATCAATGCTAAGGCATCCTATTCATCGAAATTATTCTTATAACATTACCCTTCCTAATTAAATGTGTGGAATCATAGCATGCTTTAGGTAGTCCAATCAAATATAACCTTAATTTTGGGTTCTCTATCCAAAGGACCCAAATACTATCATTTGAATGTTCATCAAAATTTGTTCCCAAGCAAACTATGATTTTAGAGGTATTTACTTCTCAAAATCCTATACTAGTATAAACCATAATTTATAGATGATTTCCCAATAGTAACATTATCCTATTATCAAACTCTCTCCTTGTTTTAATCACCATATGCTATCATTTAAAGCAAGTTCATGGAATAATTAATCTCTATAGTAAAGATATATGGCCTAACTCCATCAATAAATTGTCCAATTTATCATAATTAGTTAATATTTCCATATATGACATAATATATCCTATCAAATAGCCAATGGTTAATTCAATTGGTAATACCCTATGTCATTAGGTCATCCTACTTAAAGGGGTCCCTATTTCAAAATGGGCATTAAAAATAAATGAGTTAGGACAAATACGCTATATTAGTGATAATACCTTTAACTTTATAAATGAAATTATTATATACGGTAGGAACAACTAACCCCTATTATAGGTTTAAACTCCAATACTTATTAATAGTCATCATAATATTGATGATATTAGAATGAGGTGTCCTTAAATGGCGTATATAAGAAAGATAGAGACTAGGCTAGATAGTCACTTAGTTCTAGATATAAAATAGTTTCCTATGAAACTAGAAGTTTAAGCATGAGGGAGAGCGAATTTGGCTTCATAATATCATCTAAAAGTTAGGGCAAGGTTTACGATATATAGTTTACTTACAGCATAATTTACCAAACCTATCAAATTATTGAAGATTAATTAGGGAAGATCATCTAGAAAGGGCATCATATTTGGTGCCGTTATAATGGGCCTATTATAAGGATTAGTAGATACAAGTAAATGTCAGTTACCTCATAACATACCCTATTGATAAATCTGACTAAATTTATTTCACGATTATGATTTATTAATACTTAGAAATAAGTCGGTCATCAATAAACAAAAATCTAACTAATGCTATCCTAGTGAATGAGGTAATCTTATAGGGCTATATCATGCTCATGAGTTATCAAAGGATATTATACTAAGGAAATAACAAAGATGATACTATATCCTTATTTTTTATTTCCCTAAGCTAAGAGGAATTTATTATAATCACTAATAAAGGGTGTGTTGGTGTCATTAGTTCAATATTAAGGATACTAATATCAAGTTGTTCATTGGTAATTGGTTACTAATGGGCCATCTCCATTACAGAATTGATAGATGCAGTATAGCAAAAACATTATATAATAACTCTAGTCAATGAATAGCTTGATACTAGTATCGTTAATATTGAACTAATGACACCAACACACCCTTCATCTAGGTGATAACCATTATAATTAGCTATATATAATAATATTAAATAGAATTCATGGGAAAGAAACTGATTAAACTATTCATAAACGAGTATACTCCTCTTTGTCTTGATAATTTATAAGGGTTCCTCTATAATATCCCTTTACTAAATTAAAGGTATCTATACTCTATGTCCAGAATAAGCATTATTGTGATTGACGTGTCTAGCACCAATATTTCCTTTTGAACATAAATATTTCCCTCAATGTTGATATATTAGGATATCATTTAGGGATTGATAAACAGGAATAGTAATACTATATTGATAACTTAATTATAGTGGAGATAGTGAATCACCTATTCTACCTAGATTAATAGGGGATGCATTATGATGATACTAAATTGATATTGAGATTAGGGAAATACAAACTAAGGTCCATAGCATAAGTTATGAAACACTTATAAAGTATAGATACCTTTGATTTAGTAAAGGGATATTATAGAGGAACCCTCATAAATTATCAAGATAAAGTGGAGCATACTCGTTTATGAATAGTTTAATCAGTTTCTTTCCCATGAATTCTATTTAATATTATTATATATAGCTAATTATTGATAGTAATTATTAGATAATTACTATGATTGAGCTCAAACATATTACCCTTAAACCAATACCTTAGTTTGTAATTAACTCTAGAGAATTTTATGTCCGATAATAATTATACTCTTCATAAATAAGGGAGATATGGTAGGAAACTGATCCACCATATCGAGATATTTAAGTCTATCCTCATCAATTCCAAAGTTGACATTAAATAGCCTAAAATCAAATAATAGGACCCCTATAGCCATAAATTATAGTCTTGATAAATGTTTAATAGATATTTGTTTTTGGCCCATAAAATTATATCCCTTAAATCCGGTTGATGGATCCCTATATATTATATCCATAAATTATGGGTTTAAATTATATAATTTAAAATTATAATCAATTAGTGGTTTTTAATAGCCCATGATAAAGTGAGGGAGAGGGCTCTCCATAAATTATAATCTTCCTATATTTATATCCCTAGGTCATAACCATGGAAATCGTTCATGCTATAATATGGAGAGCACAAGTGGGGATTAAATCATTAGCTAATCTCTTTAGAGGAAAAATGCTCGTTAATAATTCTATCACATTATCTTTTTTATACCTATTTTTATCAAATTCCATGTCTATACCCCAACTTATGTCAGCGTATGATATATACAATGGAGTATTAGCCAAATGGAATTCTATTATGAGGTAATATTGATAAAGGATACAAGAGTTTATATTTCAAACTTATGCTCCCCCTCTCACCTCTAGTATAATCGGGGAATTTGATATAATAGAGAGACCATTATCCTAGCACTGGCCTTATATAAGGGGCTAATATTTAAGACTATTAGTATCTTAAGGGCACTATGCTCTTTTTATATCAATATATTTAAAGATTCCATGCCAGATCCCCAAACTTTACCATTACGTTGCTATATATGGAGTCTAAAATATTGGTTCCCTAGATAAGAACATGGCGGGTTATATGGGCTCGGCCCTATATAGTGGCCTTAAGCTCTATGTAAGGGTAAGCGTACAGTGCTAGGATATATTGAGATTTAATCGGCAATAAATAACCATCACTTACCAAATTGACATAGCAAAGGAAGGTGTACTCTATCATAGGGTTAGGTAAAATATATTCCCTCCTTAACTAGTATTACTCAGGATTATCTAAGGATTAATTCATGTTATTTTAGAATACCATACAAGTAAGTCACCTCTAAAATATATTCCCTCCCTATAGTCAGGCGAAAAATGATTCTTTAAGTATATTAGAAAGATTCACCTAAGATAAAATGAAGGAGAGATGAGTTTCCCTCGTTAGTTTAATTAGAGATATGGCATATTGAAGGAGAGTTAATAGCCTTTATGTGTCATGGGTGAATAGGTGGACGTATATTGAGGGAGAAGTACACTATATATAGAGAAAAATTGTAGAACCTCTAATATTTATCCTATCAAAGAGATAGACTATATTGTCAATCCTTAAAAATATATATTGGCAATACCAACCCTTTTACATGTACCGTACTATTTGATTCTACATGAAAAAGTAGTCACATGCTTGTGGAGAATTATTAATATATACTACATTAGTAAATATTACTTATATATAGTTTACCTCTGATTCAACAAAAATGACCAAAATCAATATTCCATTCCTTAGTAGTGTTATGTTGGAAGCTAAATGGCCTCACTATAGTACTTCAAATATGTTAGAAATAGTTGATCTCCTTCTAGTATAACTGGACCAACTATACCATAAAGTTACCTTATTGTAGTTTATTCTTTAGTACCTACTATTCTCATAATATGTTCCTTTGACTATCAAGCTGATAATAAACCTATTATTATCTAAAGGTCTAGTTTAGTATAAACACCAATAACCTCTATTTAGATGGTAAATAATCACACAAAAGATATATAGTAATTAGTCTCTATAGGTTGAAATCACTAATTTAGGATTGAAGATGGGCTATATGAGGAGAATATACTAATCGATCAAAGGGCTCGCATTGTTAGACACCTCCAAACATAATTACCAATAGGTTTATGTTTATTAATGTGTATTTTTATATTATTATTTGTAAATATAGGTAGGAATAATTGTGACTATTATTGGCATTTCTACCTGAACTGCAAAGTGAGGGTTAATATCCTCACATTTCCTTTGCCTTTATCCTATGTCACTTCATTCTGTTTGATAAATCTCATGGAAAACATATTATTATAACCCTTATGTTAAATATAGTAATATCAATGGTAAATAACTCCTATCTATGTTACAAAGAGGGCATATATAAACTGTAAACATCATCTCCCTCATTATTAGCTACTCCCATTTAATAGTTTCTATGATGAACGCCTCTAATAATATCCTTGTCCCTCTATCCCACGGATGATATCTAGGATTACTTTGTATATTATCAATATTATTAGAGGAGTTGATCATAGAAACTATTAAATGTGAGTAACTAATAATGAAGGAGATGATGTAAACATTATCCTATAAAGACATTGATAATCAATATTAATCGCTCTTTAACCTAGCCTATAATTCCATAATTCTCTCCCTCCCAACTATGTTAATTATTCATTAGTATGGAAAATCATACTCCCAATAAATTGATCTATTATATTGGCCAAATTCATATGTTAGAGCAGGTTTAAGAGGACATAAAGGATGTCAACAAAGTACTTCGATATGACTTATGGTATTTAAGTGGTGGATATATTCCTCACATATGGAACACTACAAACCATGTGTGAAGCCTACAGCCCATGTGGTCTTCTTCTTTTAGAGAGTTTTGGTAATAATGGCACCTTGTTATATTAACTAAGTAATGATATTGTTCGGGCTATATAGTAATCTAGGTATTATTATTTTGGCAATGATCTCCTTCTTGGCTAGAGAGCCTATTGAGGATTCTTATCATTGGAATAGAGGTGATAGTAGCATAGAAATGCTAAATTATATATTTATCTATTTTGTTTTCCTCAATAGGACCAACTCCATAATTATTATGGTCAATTGCTTAGCCTATTGAGGATTAGCAACTGACCTTCATGGTAATTATGGTAAAGGCTAGTGTTATCCCATAAACAGTTATGATAATCCAATAAGAACACCAAGTATGGTTCATTTCCCTAGACATATCCTAAAGAGGATAGGGGGAAATTTAGATAACATGAAAATTAGGTTAGTTAAGGGAATCACTCCATCTAAAAAAAGATATTGTAATTCCTATTTAGATAAGGTATAGATCCTAGCATATTAAGAACCAATACCCTATAGCTAAGTGATTAAATTCAGTAAACCATAATAGTTTAAATCTATAGCCCGAGGATGTGCTATTAAGAATTATGATATTATATTTGACATATAATAGTACCCTCTCTCTATTAAGGTACCCTCTCTCTATTAAGGCAATCTTATTTGCCCTAACAATAATAATAGTTTGGTTGAATAATCAATGTATATAAGTCCTCCTTTGAAAAGATTATTTGCCAATAAATAAGATAACTTTCGAGGACGGGAAAGGTTAGACTCCCTTAATATTTTCGCGACATACAACCAATAAGATCATAAGATACGTGCTAATCTTTTCAAAGGGTCAAGGGGCCATTAATATATTTAGAAACCCTTTCCAAAACTATAAAAGATAGAGGGAGAAGTGCCCTATATATATAGGAATTCTTAACCTATTAACTCCATAATTAATCTCTATTAATTATTCCCCCATCCTAGTGATATAGGTATATTCATAAGCACATTTGGACTAAATAATATTATGTACCAATACTGGGGTAGCCATGGTCAATATAGTTTATTATTGAAATTTAATTGGTGGTTTTATCTTTATTGATGTCATTAATAGATATTAATTATGGAGTTAATAGGTTAAGAATTTCTATGTATCTATATATATATATATATATATATATATATATATATATATATATATATATATATATATATATAGTGCACTTCTTCCTCTGTCTTTTATGGTTTGGACTTACGGAGATTATACCCAACGTTGACTTTTTTTTCTCTTAATATCCATTTAGACCATAATAGGAAGGAAAGGTTATCGGGGAGGGAGAATAATTTTTAGGTATGAACAATCGTTGGACGTAAATATAAGGTTAATATATTTCCTAGCTAAACTAGGCTGTCTAATATTCTCAAAGAGATTGCGAAATATCAATTGGCTATTAAATAGAGAGGATGTCCAAATATAGATTTAATGTCCTATTAATAATGAGAGATGTAACATGACATACATGATAGATCCAAATAACCAATGATTCACCTTATAGGGATGATAAGTCACCCCTATTTAGTATACACTATCTAGCCGTTTCTTTAAAATTGGAAATGGGCTATATCTTCTACCCTCTTAATACCCTCTTCAATAAAGTACCTTGATTATTTTATTCAAGGTGAATCATTTAGTAAATTATTTAATGATGAGGAGTATAGGATAAATTTCAATGGATAAGCCTATATTATTCCCCTACATTAACAGATGAGAAAGTTTGGATTGCACCTAATTAGATAAATACATTTGTAAACACCTCTTAATAAGGATAATTCACTAGCCAACATCAAATTGCTTAAAGTTTAAACTCATCTTCAAATTCACAGTCCATAAATGGAAATGAGTTAGGCAAGTTTCTCACCTCTTGTATCTTTCATTTGGCAACAGGGATATACTCATGCAATTTTAAGAATAATGTTTATTTTTAAAGATGATTTTTTATGTATAAGAGGTGATAATGGATAGTGAGGGAGATTATTAAGCACATTCCTAGTTTTGGTTACCATAGGGAGAGGTTAATATCCTCAAGGGGTATTATCATAAGGGTATTAAAATAGCCCCAAATCTTATAATAATTGCTATGTTAACCCATAAATCTAGGTTTGGCTCTATTTATTATTCCCATCTCGTATAATATGAGAGAGAACTATCTATATAAGTCCCAAACTATTATTTATAGAGAGGTGATAGGTCAAAAACCAATTAATGGGATTTTCTTCCCATCCGTTACAATGTCTCCCATTAAATGGTGAGATTACGCCTATTGTTTGGGCTCGTAAAAGGACATATTTTAATAGGTTTTTAGGAGAAAATGCCTATACCCCTCTTAAGTCCATGTCTCATTTAGATTTTTAATACGATATGATAGTTTTCCAGCATCCATATTCGTTCTCACATTACCAATCTTTACGGTGAAACTAGTCTCATGAAAGAACTATTTCATTACAAGAGGTAAGTTTTTGTATATTAATGGGGCCCATCTCATCATATCTCATCATATCTTCACCTGACTAGATCAAACTTTTTTTTGGGAGGCCAAACTTGTACAAAATATATTCGACCCCTCTCCAATATGAGACTAGTTTTTAGCAATTGATTACTAATATTTTGAAGGAATTTAACTATGAAAAGGAAAAGAGTATCGGTTATTAAAAGATGAAAAGGCTCCTACATGTATAGAGGCTTTGAACAATTTAGAAGGTTCTAATTGTTGATTAAAAATTGGAGGGAGAGGGATTATTTATTGACAAAAGTTACGAAAATTCTTGTAATTGAGAGGGGTATTAATTTGAAGTTAAGCATAATATAATTGGTAAGGAAAATTATATAGGGTGAGATAATGCAAGACTTTTGTGGTTGATATGTTTATTGGCACCATATGCCAATATTAATTGTTTCCACTTATTAGAAGTTATCATATCGGCCTTAATCTTAAGCCCTCATGAGTATTCATCATTATAATATCTTCCTCTTATATTACTTAAAGGTAACCGATATCCACTCCCTCCCTTCTTGATATGACTCCATAATCTCCAAATATTACTCTGCCTTCACGATCAATATTAAATTAATGAGATGGTAACTTCAGAAAAGATACTCCTCCTTTATTGACATCTACAATTGTAAATTTGACATCAATTAATAAACATCTCCCTTCCCCTATTATTGAGCATAACTAGTATACGAGGGACTCATCGAAGTTATTCTCTCTCCTTTAGGCAACGAATAACTATAGGTATTGAATTTTTAGGATATTGTGTAATATTGATAATATTAAATCACATAAGATATCTGAATATATTAATCATATATTATGATTATTAACATATAATATAATACTATATTATAATATTTATTAATAAGATAACTTAAAGTGATTTTAGTTTCCTCCCTTTCTTTATGCATGGACAATTAGATATATTAAGATAGTTTTTCTCATCAATAATGTTTTTCTCATTAGTATTTATAATAATAGGCTTGTTATACATTCAACATGATGAAGACCATACTTAAGATGCTTTAAGTATAGAATGGTGTATTCAGCCCATTATTGCACATAGGCCCCTCTCTCCCTCCCTACTAAATTAAATTATGCTGTTCCGCTATATAAATTAGTACATGCAAACTTGAAAGTAATAGATATATACTTGGAAAAGTTAATTATTTGACTTTTCTGTATGAATAGTGTCTATTCTAGGAGGAGATAGTCGAAGTAGGATGAATAATCAAAAGAAATATTAAAACCCTAGAGAATCTTAAGGAGAGAGAGATACACAGGTTCATATTAGTCCATCATTATATAGGGGAGAGTTTCCAATATGAATCCATGGAAATTCGACTAAGGATTTGATAATGATATTATACAAGTTTGGTAATTTACGTTAACATAACCCCTCTCTCATGAGACCATCTATCATTTAGACTCCATTACTATAAATTATCTCACCATATGGCTTGCTAATTTAAATATCAATGTGATTCATTATATTTGACATGAATTAACAACCTATCTTAGTCATATATATAGTCTAAATGAGTCTAAATGAGAGATGAGACCTCTCTTAGCAATGTTAGAGAGAGAGACATGAGGAAGAGTGTTATTCCTATAATTACATTGATACATGATAGAAAGAGAGAAAGATGAAGGAATATTAATAGAGTCCTTGTTATAAAACCCATTATCCCTAGCGATTGAAATGCCTATTAGTAAGGAGATGCCAAATGACGTTTAAGTTACCTTTATGTTGGTTCATACCCCTATGTTAAGATAGGGACTTAAAGTAATGGCTATATACTAGCGCGGTAGTTAATACTTTCTTTATTAACAAAAAAGTAATTTTCTTTATTAATCTTTCCCAATTATTCGGCCTATACTTTATAAGGGAATACATCTACCTATCATTGACACCTAAAATTCATAAAGAGAAACCCTAAATTCTCTATTTATAGTAAAATTAGATTTATATCACTATATGTTCTACTTAAAACATTCTATCTTCCTTATTCATAAAATTTATTTGGCCTAGAATTTGATGATAGGAATGGGTGGTGTTAGGAGAGTTTTATGCGCAGAGAGTGAGAGGAGGAACAAGCTAAAATTTAAGAATAGATATCTTAATCGATGAACCATCGTTCTTAAGATTTGGAAGGTGACATTTAACATATTTTTCTATAGGTATCTTAGATTGGGACATTATAAGAGTACACTAAATCGAACTATCCCATGATATAAAAGGTAGAGTGGTGTCATCTTAACAGGGGAGGGGGAGCGTTCCTAATAAAATTATAACCCGAATTTATCTACTCCTCTTAGTCTTATGCTATTAGGGAAAGACATGTGGTGAGTAGGTAAATTGGTAATGTGATTAGGATTGGCACAACTATTATGAGAAAATATTGACCCCATATGAAAGTATGGTAAGGGAGAGTAGTAATGTCGACATTATTAAGCACCTTAATAAGAAAATGAGGTGCTTAACCCTCTTTTCTCCCTCTCCCTCTCAACCTAGGGTATATTGTAACCGTAGCTATTAACACACGTTTTCAGAATATGGACAATTAATTGGGAGAGGGAAAAAGGCTTTGGTAACTAGTAAGTCCAGGGATATTGTAACCGTCGCTATTAACACACGTTTTTAGAATATGGACAATTAATTGGGAGAGGGAAAAAAGCTTTGGTAACTAGTAAGTCCAGGGATACACAAATCTTATATTTAATCATTTACGAATGCTATTAACTGATTATAAGCAGTCATGGCATAAAATTACCCCTTTTATGGAAGAATAACTTAGCCCGACCTCACATTGAGCTATTTAACTACTTGAACGGCAATAATGCGAGGTACTATCCGTTATCCTCTCCAAGATAGTCTTTGTATGAATATTATTCCCCTCTCCCCTAGTTACCTTACCTAGGTTTGAGAGGAATTCTTCCTTACTCATATTATAGTATGTTTGACATCTAGGAAAAAGGCCTCTTTTAAAGATTACATTAGACTGAATCTCATTGTTACCTAATATCGACTTTGTATAATCTAATAATAGTTTATTAGGGAGACAAAGATTACTAAGAGCTATATTTGTCATCTCATTTATAAGTTATGGATGTCATCTCAAGTCCTTTTGGTTAAAGGATCTCCCTCCCTCTCTCTTTCCCTCTTTACCTCCCTCTCTCCTTCTCTCTATATTTACCATACTTGCCTAACATAACTAACTAGAGGAATATATCTAATTCTCTAGGTCAAATTCTACCCACATAGAAAATATATTCATATAGTTAATAAATTTGATGGAAAGTAATAGTCCGCATACCCTATGGATAGGAGGGGAGTATACACACAACTATATTATAAAGGTGTTATGCCGGTACTTACCATAAGTTGAAGTAAGAGAGAGTGGCCTCTTTCCGACCATATTATATTTTGGTTAATTTTTAGGATAATTTAAGGATGCATAACTTCATCGTTAATTTTGATGTAAATATATTATTACCCACATATAGTTAAAGTTGTTCATCCCTTGTTCAAGAGGAAGTTAGACCCCCACTCATCATCCTAAATGAGAAAATAGGGAGAGAGTCCATATATTTTTAAACATAGTTTAGGCCCTCGGACTTGGATTATATAACTATGATCAATTAATGTTATCCCTAATATTTATTGTCTTTCAAGTTATGGGCATTCCTATTTAAATTATTTCCACTCATAATAATTATCGATAATGTTATAATAACTATTATGCATGAGTGAAAGGAAATCCAAAGGGATAACATTTAACACAAGTTTAATTTATGGATGAATAATTAAAACTTGGAGAGAATGTTTTTTTGATGGTCTAGCATTGATAATACAAATAGAAAGTGTTTCTACATTGGCATGAGGGGGAATGATGATGTTTGGGTACGTTATCCCTTAGATGGTGGAGTTTCCCTTAATACTCAAGGGGATCTCCCTATTAATCAGCTAAGATAAAAATTTCAAATTATCCATTGAGCATGTGCCTCTCTTTCATGGCCTTCCTTCGATAATGTAACCTCATTATTATCCTAGATAAGGGAGTCATACGTATAAGTTTAAGCATTCAACTAAAATCTCTCCCATATGAGACCCATTCTATATTTTGCACTAATAAGTTTAGTTTTGCCATTCCAAACTCAAAGATTCTTCCAAATTGTCCCCTAACTTCTTGAGAACCATCACCGCATATGATATAGACAATAATGTCCCTTCTACCGAAAGGAAACTTACCATTTAATTGAGGTCTATTTATTTCAAAATATAAAAAGAATAAAAGTTACATTTAAGGATAGTTAACGAGAGAGGGACTAATCTAATTCAAGTATAATCTATTTGAGGGAGTGTCCTTTCTTAGCTTATATATTAATATTCTTAAAGAGGCCAAATAGAGAGAAAGGGGTCTATATAAGAGAAATTGGAAATATAAGATGAAGAGGGATGGCCCACCAATAATACTATAGGTCCAATATATGGCTACTCTAAGTTGATAGGGATGGTCATTCAAAAGGAAATATTATGATTAATAATTCCCTTATGTCACTATCATTTTGTATTTTCCCTAGTTTGATGTAAACAGATCATATATAGCTAATCACTAGGTGATGAATAAGATCACAATCGCTCTAACTTTTTTTAGTGTTGTAACCAACTTTTGATTAAGTTGATATATTAATTTCTTATATAGTCGATTACGTTGAGCAATGAATATAGTATTCACATACCAATCATGTGTACATGGTACTATCGACCTGAAGGTACCAATATTTCAAGCTTGAAGGTAAGCGATATCCACTCCCTCCCCTCTTGACATGACTCCATAATCTCCAAATATTACTTTGCCTTCATGATCAATATTATAATTGTAACCTCTATAAAAACCCTTATCCGTAACGTGATGTGTATTAGAATAATTCTATATATATGTATATTAAGAGTAAGTATAATTCTCATTTCATCATGAGAAATTAATGCTAGAAATATGTGATTTATGTTAAATTAAAGTTTTTGTCCTTAAGATTAATGGCTTAATTATTAAAGAAATCAAATATGCAAAATCAGCGTTTTAAGGACTATATTCTCGCCCGTGTTTTATGTGAATTATTTCAGCACTTGAGGGTGATTTTTGTTTAAATCTTAAAGAATAAAAGTTATTCATCTATGTGTTTCATATACCTGTATAAAAGTGTATAATTTTTGGACCTATACATTAAGAGTTATATCCATTATGGTGAGGGTTGTTCCGAAATGCATTCTCGCTGGAATTTCGAGAGAAGAATCTACCCGAATCTTATGAGATTTATTTGATGCTATTATATTCATTTTTGAGACAAACTTAAAGAATAAAAGTTTTATTTCTATGTGTTTTCTAGCGCTCTATAAAATTTTATAAGTTTTTGATATACATAGAAAGATTTATGCATATTTTAGTATAGATGGGTTAGGAGGTAACACTACTGGAATTTTGGGAAAAAAGAAATTCCGAATTTTAAAAATGAAAATTTCTGAATTTTTTTATGAAAGAAAGTAGGTTTAGCTAATTGAATTAAGTTAATTAATGAGTTTAATTAGTATAAATTTTATATAGACACCTAAGTAAATGCAAGAAATGAATTTAATGCCAACTCACCCATTATGGTCCCAAAGCGACCACCTTTCCTCATGACTCACCCATAACTTTTACACCTTGTCCCATTAATTTCTAACACTTGCAGTTGAAAGAAAGTAAGTGTATATATATATATATATAGCAAGTGTTAAAATGAGAGAAAAATTTAGCAACCCGTAGGTACCAAAAATTGGGAGAGAAAAGGCAAGAAAGAAAAGAAAGGAAAAAAAAACGTGAGGAGAGAACGGAAAGGAAAGAAAAAGAGAAAGGGAAAAAGAAAAGAAAAAGAGCTAAGAAAATTCTAATCAAACCTAAAAAAGGTAAGTAGGCTCCATTTTTTTTTTTTGGTTGATTAATGTCTTAAATTATTTTTTTTAAAAGTTATTTTGTTAGTGTCTATTTCATGGGTTGCAATAATTTGCAATGGTTATATGCTTGATGTTTGGGATGAATCTATCTATGGATGCCTTGTTATGATGATTTATGATGTTATGATGTTTTGAAAAATGTCCAAGTATATGGTGATGGGTTGGATTGGACTTGAACTAAATTTAAGTGAACTAAAACATGTTTAAAGTTGGCTTAGAATGAACTAATAAATTAGTGTTGATAAGGAGTAAATTCTGTCCGAATTTTAGGGTGCATGTTCAAGGATTTTGGGTCACTTTCTGGGTGAAACTTAAAGAATAAAAGTTGTTCATCTATATTTCAAATAACTTCCTATGAAATATCTTGGTAATTGGATTTGTGTACAAAGAGTTATACTCGATTTAGTATAGATAGCTCTAGATAAACTACTACTAGGCAGATTGCTCCCTAAGTTTCAAAAAATTTGTAATTAATTATGTACTTGGTATTTAGACCTAAATTTTGGATATGTTATAAGTAAATATGTTTAATATCTAAAATAAAATGGGTAAGATTTAATTATGTTCTGAAATTGAAAAATTATTTACTCGATTAGGAGTTGCCCGGTAATAAACCCTAAAACCAAAGAATTAGACTTGGACAAAATTAATAGGTTTGGAATAAACTAAATGAGCTTGGACTAAATAAAATGGAATTAAATAAATTTAATGGACCTAGGATAAAGTTAATGGGCTTAGATTAATGTAAATGGACTTGGACCTTCTTTTAAATATTAATGAAACTAATGAACAATATTAATGAGTGGAAGTTGTGTTCCCGATATGGGTATCATGATTGGTATGTGAGGAATGGGTAAATTTTGAGTGTGGGTTGGACCGTGAGTATGGCATGAGAATGAAGGGTTGGTACCCAAATTTGGTTGAATGTGATTAAATATGTCATCACGTGCATCATGTGCATAGTGGGTGGTTTAAGACAAGTCAATTGATTGAGAAATGGTTTATACATCTAGGTTTGATAACCTAACTAGAATAAATGGGCATTAGTAGTCCAATACTCTAGGCTATATACTCGCACTATTAGACGATGGATTCTCGCTAATAGCGAGTTACAACGAGGGATAATTCCGTTGTAGCAGAAGATGATCCGAGGATCATCCGGATGAAACCAAGCTCGTGTGCTTGCACTGTTAGATGATGGATTCTCGCTAACGGTAGTTACAACGAGGGGTAATTTCGTTGTAGTAGAAGGTGATCTACGGACCACTTGGATGATAAATAGAGTAGATCGGCTAATATCCAGGGTACCCGAGATTAAAATTTATGAGTATGGTGGGAAGTCAAAATAACATTGCATATCACGTGCATCACCCTACTTATCGAGCTTCGGCTCACCTCGTTGTTATTTTTTTATGTCGTGATAGAAAAAGGACAAGTTGGTACGGATGCGGCTGGCTCCTCCTAACCGGCTCATGTGAGGCACCATATATTAGTTTTTATTTTTTCTATAAATTTGGGGTATGGAGTTCGTGAGAAATTGAATATTGCTCGTAATGTTTTAGTAATGTATTTAATTATGTTATGTAAATTTTATCTTAAGGAGTTATTTACGTAATGTACTCGTTAAAGTTCTAAGAATATCATAAGAGAACTACTTAGAGTTTAGGGTATGTCAACGTAATGCACTTCGTCCAGTACCCTACTTGGGTAGTAGAAATATGACTAGGGTGGGGGCGTTACAGTATGGTATCGAGCACTGGTTTTGGGAGTTGGGTAGAACCGTAAGTGCCACATGAGCTCGAGGACCGATCTCGCTCCTAGATGGGTAATTTTAATCTCTAGTTTTCTTAAACTATGTATTTTTTTAATTGCGTAATGTGTATAAAATTTCGTTTGAAATTATTAATAATGACAAACCCTATCACCGTAGATGCCGGCTTTGTATCGAGTACCAAGCGTGCCTAGAACGCGATGGCAACGGCGACGCTAGCGACGTTTAGGGTCGAGCTAAATAACCTTACTATGGTTCCGGAACAAGACTTGGTGGCACATATTATGTAATTTCATGACCTACTTCGGCGAATCGTATTCGCCGATGCCTCCTTTAACCAGTATTTTAGCTCGAACTTCCTTCGGATAACTTTACATCGGACTCTTCCACCGGGAGACCAACGATTGTTAGACGAAGTTTAGGAAGACATGATAGACCAACACTCTTATCGAGCTCTAATTCGGACCTTTCTACCAACCCGAGCCAGACGATCCCTCATTCAACCGATGTACGGATGGGGATTACCCTTACCCATTGCTCGTGAGATAGTTCATGCGGCAATGGAAAACCGCATTGATTGGTGGTTTACTAGAGGGTTCTTTTCCTCGACGTGTCCGATAAATAAGTTAATAGAGATCTCATCACATGTCGTGGTGTCTTTTGTATGTTCTATAATGTAAATAGGAGTGCTTTTGATTGTAAATAAAGCACGAAAACCTAGTAAAGGTGTGTATGAGATGCTTACTATGTATAAAATGTATAATTTTATACGAGCATGAATGATTAGCATTAAATGCTAAAATCCATACTAAAACTAATGTGAACTTAATGTGTACATAAAGATAAACTATGCCTCCAAGAAAGAACCCCGTACGAGCCGGAGGTGAAGGGACCTCTAATGATAATAGCCCAAACCAGCAAGAAATGCTGAATCAAATGATGGAAATAATGCAACAAGTAGTAACAAACTCTACAAGCAACAACAACAAGTCCACGCGGAACAAATGAGGCGACTTTTAGCTACACAACAACGACCTCCACCCCAACAAGAATGATGCGGTAGAAAGGTTCCACAAGATGAACCCTCAAGAGTTTGCTGGTGGAGTGAACCCAATGATAGCCGAGGAGTGGATTAAGTCTCTAGAGGCAATATTCGAACTATCTATAGTTTGCCAACCAGGAGCGAGTGTCGTGTGCTATTTTCCTGTTAACTAAGGATGCTCGCACATGGTGGGAGAGCACGCGACTAACCGTAGATGTGCCGACTTTAACTTGGGAAGGATTTAAGGAGGTCTTCTATAATAAATACTTTACTACGGATGTGAGGGCCAAGAAGATTCAAGACTTTCCGGAGTTAAAGCAAGATGGGATGTCAGTCCGTGAATATGTACGAAAGTTTGAACAAGGCTATAGATTCATCCCATTTATTACTAGGGATGAAAATCTAAAAAGGAACAGATTCTTGACATGATTAAACCAAAGAGTGCAAAGTATGGTGCGGATGTCGCTGCCAATACCTTCTCGAAATGGTGGATAAGGCGATGATAGTTGACGAAGATCGAAGGAGATTTCGAGGGACTTACAGCAAAAGAGGCAAGGGTTTAGATTTGGAGCCTCTTCATCGGGACCAGTGAGATGAGTTTTGCCTAGGAATTTCAATCGAAGTGGTGGTCCGAGAAACTCTCGAGCCACCGGACCAGCACCATATGTTCCGAGACCACCGCCGAGCAGCCAATCGAGATCAATGACCGGCAATCCACCCTAGTGTAGAAAGTGTGGAAGGTTCCATGCCGAGGAATGCGGATCGGACAGTACGGGTATGCTATGTGTGTCAAAAGCCAAGGCACATGTCCTACAATTGCCCACAAGTACGAAACCAGGACCAAGAAGAGTACCTGCTCGGGTGTATACTATGACCCGGGAAGAGGCGGATTAGAGGGATATAACTGTAATTCATGATAATGTCTCAATCATTGGCTTAATTGCATATGTTTTGATGGATTACGGTGCCACACATTCTTTTATATCAAACA